CCTCTGTTCTCCTTTAAACACCAAATTACTCTACAGGCGTAGAAACTTGGCATCTTGAAAGATCTCATTAGTGTAAATCATCTGTTCAGTGTGGTGCAGAGCCATGCTGGTAGAGACAGGAGTTAGAAAGCAGGACTTTAACCTCAGATTAAAATTTCAAGATACCAGGTAAGATTATCTCCAGAAGGCCTAGCACTGGACTTCAGTATGGCATTTAAATCCAGCTAAAATAACAGGAGTAGGTCTTGTGGAAGTCACCTATGAAAGTGGAAAGTGAGTTGCCCTGACTTCCCACAGCTTAGTACCCTGACTTGAGCCCAGTATTCTGGGTGATTAAATGCAGCTTTTCTGAAGAATAATTTAACCTCCTGAGGGTTAAGTTACAAATGGGAATAAGTCACAGAAGGCCTGGACGGTAGAGCAGGTCTGTAATCTCAGCACTCAGGGGCTGGAGGCAGGGGGATCAAGAGGAGTTCAAGGTCTTTGGCACCTAGTTCCTAACCAGTCTGGGCTATGTGAAACCGTGCTCCCAAAGATAAATAGTGACAGAAAAGAGGGGCGAAGGTGTAGCTCAGTTGGTAGAGTGCTTACACGACATCCAAATATGCCGAGGTCTGGTCCCTCGCACTGCATAAGCCTAGTTTGGCTGCATATGAAGAGTGTTCAGTTAGCGTGGTATCCCTATCGCCGTCACTGCAGGAAGCACTCTGCCAATGTCAGAGGCCTCTGCATCCCCTGAATCCTTCTCACCATCTCTTCTTTCTCTTCCAAACCAAAGGCCTCCCCAGCGTGACATCTTTCTCAAAAAATAGCTCCCAGAACATTCTCTGATAGTGTCTTTGCCTTGGATTGATTTACAGCCAGTGTTCCATATCTGTGAGCGTCTGGTTCTGGAATCCCCCATGCAGACTCCAAATCCCAGAATTCCAAGTTCTGTTAGGAAACGGTGCAGTAGTTGTGTGGAGTCTGTATCCACCTAATAAAATACCAACAGAATGTGAATAGTTTCTATATATCATTTTGTGTTATGTTATATTTGGGATATTAGCAAGAAAACGATCTGTCCACATTTAACCCCAAACACTTAAAAAAAAAAAAAAACTATTTCTGGACTATAGTTTGAATCTGAGAATGCAGGACCCACGGGATATGGAAATCTGATGTCATCAGGGTGGTCTGTATCTTCCCGTTAGCTCTTCATGCCCCGAAGTCCTGCTGTTCCCTGGGGCCTGATTTTAGTGCTCAAAGAAACCACATCTCTTATTTCCTTATTCCCCCAATCCAGTCAAGAGTCCTTCAGAGGCAGGAAGGCTGGGTGTTTGAAGTCACTTTTTATGTTTTTTAATGGAATTTTTCTCCTTACCATAATTAGGCCCTCAGGTCTCATTTTGACGGTCCCCTAAAGACTTAAGTCATTTTAGGACCAGGGACGTAGCTCAGTAGTAGAATGCTTGCTAGCACGTACAAAGCCCTGGGTTCAATACCTAATACCACCAGAAAGGGAAAAACAGAACAAAACAACAACAACAAATAAAACCGACTAAAGGTTCACTTAAAAAAATCCTAAGGGCTATGGAGCCAGTTGGTAAAATACTTTCCCTGAAGGCATGAGGACATGAGTTTGAATTCCTGCCACCGGTGAAAAAGCTGGCCATGGTGGACCGGGCTTAAAGTCCCAGCTGGGATGAGATGGGAAGCCTGTCCAGTGCAGTCAGTAAGCTCCAAGCTCAGTGAGAGATCATGTCTGAAAACATAGGGTGGAAAGTAACAGAGAAGACGCTCAGTGTCAACCTCAGGCCTCCGTGTGCACACAAGCATGCACACACACAAATCCGTATGTCGACACACAAAAAACTTACTATTGTAGTAAGGAAAGGCAAACGAGCATTGTGGGGTGATTTTTGTAAGCCATTCCTTTACAAAATGGAGAAAAATTACACGTTTTTTTTTTTTTGCCCCCCCGGGGGAGGGGCCACTATCCTACACCAACCTCAACAAATATTTTTCTTCCCTAATTTCTTCGATGACTTTTATTTTCACTTTGGTGAACTTTTGTTTTTCTGTCCCTCGAGGCTTTTATACACACACACACACACACACACACACACACACACACACACACACAGCTCCCTGCTTTGCAATGTGTTTGTTTCTGGCGTTCGTGTAATACACTCCATCATGCTGGTATCTCGTAATTTATGGCCAGTTCCTTTAGTGCGAGGCATTAACGTTATTTCCATTTTCTCTCTATTATAAATAATGGAAGCAAGAACATCTCTCTACATGCAGCTTTTTTCCTGTGTTTGAGTTATATCTTTAGGACAAATTCCCAGGAGTGGGATTAGCGGGTCAAAGGGTCTGAGCAGCTTTATGGCTCTTAATATTTATGGCTAAATTGCCTGAAGGGTCATTCTAATTTACAGTGCCACCTGCAGCACAGGAGAGCCTGTCCCTCCCAGGCTTGCCCACATTGGCCTCTTCAGGCTCTGCTCTGGGGCAGATTTCAGAGGCCTTAAGGTAACTTGTTACTCTCCTTAATTTCTATAGTTATTAAAAACGCTGGCCATTTTACCTTAGTTATACTTACTTGGTTCTATTTTATATGGCTGGCTTTTCTTTTCTTCCTGTACGGTGATATATCTTGATATCACACAAAATTTAACGTATCCTGTAATAAAAATGCCAAACGCAGGCCTAGGATATAAGTCGGTTGACAGGATGATCACCAACCGGGTATGCAGGAGGTCCTGGGTTCGATCCCCCACACAGCATAAAACCAAGAGTGATGGTGCAGTCTGTCACCCTAGCGGGAGGGTCAGGGGTGTGAGGTTATAAGCTACCTAGAGAGTTTGAGGCCAGCCTGGGTTAGAGACTTGGTCTCTCACTGAATACGTGCTCAGTCCACCCAGCACGAAGATAAAAAAATCAGCGAAGCCCGCTAGGCTCATTCCAAGTTCAGCAAATGGCCGTTCAGCCACATTGGTTTTCTTTACTCCTCTTCTCTCCTTTCCTGTTTCCATGTTAAAGCAAATCCTACTTCGTGTATTTAAGTTTCCTGCACGCTGCACAGTGCCTGTCTAAAGCGTGCACTTGTTCCAAGATAACCGTTACACTGTCATCACTAACAAAATGACAGCGCCTTCGTATCAGTAAATACCAGGGTCTAATACAATTTTCCAAAGTATCTTTCTTTTTCCTGTTGCTTTCTTCCAGCCATCACGCACATTCTTACATTTCTTCTTTTTCTTCTTCTTCTCCTCCTCCTCTTTCTTCCCTCTCTTCTCCTTCTTCTTCTCCTTCTCATCCTCCTTCTCCTTCTTTTTATTTTTCTTTGTTTGTTTGTGTTTTGAGACAGGGTTTCTCTGTGTAACAGCCCTGGTTATCCTGAAACTTTCAGTTAGAATAGGCTGGCCTCAAACTCACAGAGAACCACCTGCCCCTGCCTCTGAGTGCTAGGAATAAAGGCATGCATCACCATCTCCTGGCTATATTCTGATTTTTTTTTTTTTTTAAGTTGGGGCTAGAGAATGCGCTTAGCAGTTAGAGCACTGGCTGCTCTTGCAGAGGACCCAGGTTTAATTCCGAGCAGTTCACCTTTTGTAACTCCAGTCCCAGGAGATCTACACCCTCTTCTGGCCTTCTTGGAGAGGCCACATATGTGGTACAGGTATACATCTCAGGCAAAACACCCAGACAATATAAATTACATTTTAGGAAGTTTCTCATATCAGTCATCTTTACTTTTGAAGGGTACCTAGACCTCTACTGGCAGGGGATAGTATAGGTTGTTCAACTAGCCACTATTGATGGAGTTGATTTCGTGTTTTCTAAAAACAAAAACCATATGTCCAAGTTAGCTTATATTTTGTCCAATGTACCTTTGAGATCTATGTCTAGAAACAGTATTTCTGGATCGAATGATCAACATGTTTATGCTTCCAGGTGTCACTGGGTCCCCTTCCATGGGAGCTGGATCAGTTTGCACTGAGGGATTTTTATGAATGGATGTCTGAATGCTCAGATGCACAAGCTTGCTGGAAAGGTCGCATACCATTAACTAACTCTGCATACTGATCTCACCTTTGTTCAAGACACATGACCAGGCACAAAGCACCCTGGTTCTTGTTCTTGGCGAACCTCTGTTCTGTCCTAGGAAACATGATGTCCAAATGAAAAGCCAAGAGGAATCCAGGGTGTTGCATGATGTTACAAAGGTGGCAGTGCAGTCCAGGTCTGCTCAGGGAGCTGGTCCTGCTTACTGTGGTCCTCATGGATCCTTAGCCCTCTGAATTCCATGAATACATTTAGTGATCCTCAACCCCACACAAACTCTTGACACCTGATTGGTCAGTACTAATATATTAAGAGAAGTAACCAAAAGTTTGAAGTGCCCGTGCCTTATCAGTCCATGAAAGATAACTAATCTCTGTTGGCTTGTTTGCGTCTACCCTGAAGCACACTCACTCCCTGAACGAGAACTCCATAACCCTGTTATCAAGGCCCATTATCAAGGTCCACAGTCAGTGTAGCGAGGTTGGCTAAATGACATCCCTGGGTCTCAGAATCCCCTGCTATCAAAGGTTCTGAGGTCAGCAGTGATCTAGGAAACAGAAAAATCCCCATAGAAAGGCTGGGAGGTATCCCAGTGGAGTAGAATGTTTGCCTAATGTGCACAAAGCCCCAGGTCCAATCCCCAGCACCCTGTAAAACAGACATGGTGGTACATGCCTGAATTCCCAGCACCCAGGAGGCAAGAAGATTAGAAGTTCAGGGTCACGTCCAGCCATATAGAAGTTGGAGACCAGCCCAAGTGACGGGAGATCCACTTTGCCTCAAAAAGAAAAATAAATAAATAAATCAAATAAAAAGGAACCCTGCACATAGGTTCTATGCAAACAAGCAAAGCTATTTCTGCCCACTGATTGGTCACCCTGAAGTTGTATTTCTACCTTGCAGTTCTGCATTTTTGTCTGACCGAAATCCCTCTTGTCTCTTTCTAGATTGAATCATTAAAGAAAAAAGTGCAACAGAAGCAGCTCCTAATATTGCAGCTTTTAGAAAAAATCTCTTTCCTGGAAGGAGAGGTAAGAGGGTATGGCTATTTCAAGCTGGTGTCTTCCCTGCCATTAAATTTTATGTTGCTGATCGCACTGTGGACACTTAATTAAAAATATGGCTATTTCCTGGCCTTATAAAATTGATTGAAGGTTAACTGCCAGCTCTGCAAAGGATCTCTTGACAGCTCTATTTTCTCTTTCCCTCTCCATGCTCCAGCCTGCTGCTGGGGTCTGTGCTTTCAAAGGTCTAACGTGTCTTCCTCAAGAACTCTCCCAGCAAGTCTAACAAATTCTCATGAGTATAGGGCTTTTTAATTTGTGAATGGTCTATGCGTATGTCCCTTGCACAGTTACTCGGCAACTTTTAAAATGGCTCAAGAAGGATTGTGATCACCGTGAAAAGGGAAGACAGAGGCAGAGAAGGGAGGTGGTATCACCCAGGCTCATCCAGCCTAGGAAAACCCAGAGCCCCGGTGGAGAAGAGATGTCCAGTCCAACATTTGCCTTGTGTTACTTTGAGGAAACCTGTTTTAGAGGTGACTTAGTTTCTCCAGCAACCTGGAGTTGCCTCATAGTCTTGCCTTTGACCTTTTGAAAGGCATTTGGGGGATTTTGTGGCAGTTCCAGGGGAAGAAATTATGAGTTGGAAGAATCTTAGGGGGTTGGGTGTTAATAGAAGGAGCTGAAATCCATTTTCCCTGTAGGTTCTTTATTAAGAACTTGGCATTGAGCCTTGGCCACCTCTGGCACCAGGAAGAGCTGGTTTGCCAAGCACCTGTCCTTGTCAGTGTCCCTCTGTGCAGCCCTTCCCCCATGAGACAGCCTGGGACACGACAGTGAAGCAAGGAGAAAACTAGGGTGGCATTTGTTGAGTGCCTAGTGCGTGCTGGGCATCGCTGGTTCCTTTCCATATGTTCTGTATAACATAGGCACACAAAGGGTGGGTTCTAGCTCAATGGAGCCCTAGGGCTGCCTATTGACTGACCTGTCAGGAAGGTTCCTTATCTTTATAAAGGAACCATAACTACACCTGTGTGGGACAGTGTAGGACAGTCCCAGGAGAGCACCCCGGGAACATCTGGCATGGGCTGGAGAGATGGCTCAGCCGTTAAAGGCTAGGCTCACAACCTAAAATATAAGAAAATGCGTGGCATACCGAGTGAGCGCTCTGCTCTTGGCTTATTGAAAGCGTGACCCTCGGAATAAAGGGTATCCCCCTCCCATTTTAAATATAAGGGACTGAGTTTCAAGAACACCATTTCCTGTCCATGCTGATGGTAGAGACGCTGAGTCTGAATCCAGGGCCTACCCTTTCGCTGCATGCTTACAGGCTTGGTGAGCCAGGCCATCATCTGCTTTGATGGAGAGACTGCCTCCAGCTGCCATCACCAGGAGCCTTTGTGGCCTCGAGGGACCTGATTTCAGATTCAAGGCCCATGAGTCTTGGAGCTGAGTAAATGGATAATTTTCTGTTCCCACTCATGTCTTCCCTTCCTAGGTCACTGAGCCCAGCACCAGCTTTTCATTTCATTTTATTTTATTTTGGAAGACAATATCTCAAGTATCCCAGGCTGTCCTCAAACTCACTGTGGAGCCAAAGGTGACTTTGAATACCTGTTCTGTAGGCTTAGATTTTTCAAACACCTACTTTATTTAAGGTTCTTAGACACCCTTACCTTCCTTCTAATCCCCCAACCTTAGGTAGAAGATCAGTAGGCAAAAGGGCTGTAGACCTCTTTTACCTACCTCCTGCTGGTTAAGGTTGACCAGAGAATGATGCAGCTGTTGCAGAGGGCTGTAATGCAAAAGCATAGAGGTGCAGAACTCATAATCTTGCTGTCTGTGGGCTTCTATCTAACTCTTCTTAAAGTCTACACAAGGATGTTTTGCAAAACTCACAAAAACCAGGCCCCTCTCATGAGGTAGCTTTCAGCTGACCAACATCACTTGCCCTCTTAGGAGGGCTTTTTCCCTCAAAGGAAAAACATTCCCACATGCCACACTTGAGACACAAACAAACAAACAAACAAACAAACAAACATTCACATGACACAACTGAGTTTCTAAGGAAACCGGAAACTTCCACTTCTCTGCTCTTCTGTCTCCACCTCACAATGACAGGGTTACAGGTACCTGCTGTCTCCCTGGTTTCCAGCACTCGTTTCTAAGATTTCCTCCTGAAATCACAGCCCTGTGTGTACTGGGGGCGGAAGTGTGATTGTGCAACTTCCAGTGACAGTCCAGAATCCGTGGAAGGGGTCTAAGGGTCCAAAGAGAAGGCGTTTTCAGAAGAGGGGGACGAGATGCTGACAGAGACAGAAGCTCACTCAGAGGGCCCTCCCCCTTGTTTCTGTCTGCAGCACTCCCAAGCTTTCTAGGAGTTTCCAGGGACTATTGTGCATGGCAGGTGCTTGCAAACATATACTCCAATGATTCGCATGTTCTGGGCTTCCGAAATGTGGGTATGAGTTGATGCTGGGAGGTGATTCCAGGAGTCCCCAGTGTAGAAAGGGGAGATGAGACTGGGAAAGGAAGCTCACGTCTGTGGGCAGCCGGGACCCATGGCACGTGGGGTCTCCGGGATTTGGTGTGGGACTAGCCTGGATGATCTCCAGAAGACTGAGCAGGTACTAATTCCACCAGACAGTGGCTGGCATCTGCTGCTGGGGTTCTGGCCATTTGGCCACCTAGACTTTTCCCGTGGTGCTCACAGGAAGCCCCTTGTGAAGACTGAGGGAGTGATGTGTCAGGAGGCCGTGAGCAATGCAGGAGGCTGCCACAGTGACAGCTATGTCCATCTCAGAACAAGACTGGAGTCTAGTCTTTCTAAAGCATTTAGACAGTGGTTACAAAGCTGAGTTAGCCTTCCTTAAATTATTTAAATCCAGGGCAAAGATGGCCAGTTGCTCTGGACCACTTCCCACATTGACTTTAAACAGCAGGCAAACAAAATAAAACATTAAAAAAATTAACACTGTTAGACTTAAATGTTCTAAAATAGTAAATATCAGGATCTGGGGGGAGGATTTTTGTTGGTTTTTTGTTTGTTTGTTTGTTTGTTTTGTTTATCAAGGCTGAATTTCTCTGTGTAGCCCTGGCTGTACTGGACTTACTTTATAGACCAGGCTGGCCTCAAACTCACAAAGATCCCCCTGACTCTGAAATTACAGGTAATTCCTGGTAATTTACCCAGCTGAATATCAGGAATTTAACTCAGTATGTCCTTTTTTTTTTTTTTTTTTTTTAACTTCCTAAGGGTACTGTTTTATTTGTTTCAGTGTGTCAGTGCACGTATATGTGTGTGTGTGTGTGTGTGTGTGTGTGTGCCTGTGTGCTCTTCAGGACAACAACCTGAGTCATTCCTCAGGAGGACAGTTTACCTTTTTTGAGACCCTGGCATGGAATGTGGCAAGTTAGGCTGGTTGCCCAGTGAGCCCCGGGGATCATCCTGTCTCCACCTCTCCAGAGCTGAGACAGCAGGCTCGTCCCATGATGCCGAGCTTTTGGCCAACATGTACACACATGTATGAGTGCAAGCACACAGACACAGACACACATATGCATGTATAATGTATATGTACTCTACTGACGTGTTCCTTGCTGGCTGTGTGACTTGTGACACCAATGAACTGCCACCCCTCTTTCCAGCTGCGGTGTGACTAATGGTTCTGAGCCATCTTGTGGACTGTGATGTCCTGGGTGAGCCGGCTCGCTCAACTCTCTTATTCTTAGCACGGAGGTGTTATAGACAGGCATATAATCTATACACAGGAAACTGCACTGCTTTATAAAAAGTCCCATAGGTTAAAAGATAAATGACATTTCTCACGTAGCTTACATCACCTTACTCTTCTGTTATAAAATTATCTTGGATGCTCATATAAAAAGATCTAATAATACTCCTTACACAAAAATATTAATTTTGCCTTTGAATGGCGTGATGAACAAAAGGCGTTTCTCGGACTCAGCTTCCGTATCATAACAATTTTTCATCCTCTGCTTTTAAGCAGTTCAGATGACTGAGGAGCCTTGGTGCTTACACACATCTTTGCTCACTTTAGTAGTGTCCTTAGGTGTGTGGCGAGGGTATAGCGGTGAGCCAGAGAGGACCACGGGAGTTAACTGTGTGCGCCTGCGTACATCTTAGTTCTTCCGGCACCGGGTAGGTTTGGCCTGCTGCTACATGTAGCTGTGGTCGCTGTGGATGATCGTAGGGTCTCCTTAGAGCGTAAGGAGCCTGGGGGAAGCTCACTTGGGAAAGTAGCAGTAGCCTTGCGAGCAGGAGGACTCCATGCAGACCCCAGAGCCTATGCAGGCAGTGCCAGTGTGCTCCGAGACCTATGATCCTGGCGGCTTTCTGTCCAGCCAGCCTAGTCTACTTAGTGAGCTCCAGGGCCCACGAGAGACTGTGTCTCAAAAGACAAGCTGGATAATGCCTGAGGAGTGATAGCTGAAGCTGGTCTCTCACCTCCACATGTGTGCGTGCACACACACACACATACACACAAATACACACTGTACATACATGAACACACACAAAACTGAGATTTATTTTGTGATTTTTTTTGGGGGGGGGTTCGCTGCATGGCCTAGTTCTCAAGCTTGAACTTGGCAGGTGACAGTGTTGGGGTGCTTGAGCCAGATGGGACGATAGATTCCGACCCGTGTTTCATCATTATCTGTGTATGAGAATGACCGGATGACCCCGTTCCCGCTCTCCACCCAGGGACTCCATCTTTTAAAAAGGCAGGAGGGGCGGAGGGGACTCGGGTCACCTCTGAGATTGCTTGTATTTTTAATGTTTGAAGTCTTGCTGTCCCAACCCCCACCCCTACCAAATCACACCAAGACATTAGACCAACAGTCCAGGGGGACGTGCAGTGAGCCCTGGGCTCATAGGTGCTGGTGTGGAATCTTCCTTCCCTTTCACATAGAGAGTAGCGATTACTCCTTGGTTTTATCACTTACCGGTAACTGATGTTTGAAGTTATTAGGTTCTACGTGCACACATTACCTCAAAAATACAC